TACACCACACCCCAACAGGGTAGTTGTTCTGAACCATGGACAAAGAAGTGTAGATTGAACCACACTACACCCCATAGGCGTTCTACAAGGTGTGGGGCATTTCAGTCCACACCCTGTGTTTTGATTCCATGCATCTCAACTACAATATGTAGGGATATAATCGGATCGAACTTGGGTTGGATGCATCTGATCCAACTACCAAAAACCTACATCTAAATCCAATTGGATTTAAAGTCTCCAATTCGAATTTGAATCATAACAAACTTGGATCGGGTTCAAATTTAACCTGGCTATGCTTTAAATTTTTTAAAATACCAAAAAATAAAAATTTAATTTTTTTTACTTTTATATATAATAAATTACTGCAAATATAACGTAGTATATTTATTATATATATATATATTTAAATTCAAATATAACATAATATATAGAATATATTTTTATAATTTTAAATATAATTATATAAAATTTATATATTAAAATTAATAAATATTATAATATAATCATATTTAGATGGGATCAAATCTGAATCCAATTTGATTACATAAATACATCATCTAAATCCAAGATAATCGGATTGGATGTCAGATGGGCCTTGGATTTTTCGGTGTTAAAATCAAAAAAGTAATATTTTATTTTATAAAAATAAAAAAAAACCATTAGGTTTCCAAGAGTACTAATTTTATATAAAAATAATAATTAATAATATATATATGTGTGTACATGTGTATATTTAATTAAAAATCAATAAATATACACATATTGAATTAAAAAATGTAGATAACATTAAATATTATATAACAAGAAAGAAGTAATATTTTATTTTTTAATAATATACATAATAAAAAAATGTGGGATAGATTGGGTAAAACATACCATGCAAAGCATGGGATCATTCTGGGTAAAACATTCCATAGTAGTGTGGATCAACCCATGATAAAAACATGTGGATGAGAAATTGGCTTGTGGTGTGAACCGATCCACGAGATACACCATAGGCCAACTGAATACCTTAACTAATTGTAGTGCATTTCAAAACGCAAAATATCGTGGTCTGACCATGATACCAAACACTTGCTAAATCCATGAAAACTGATATTAATAGCATAAAACCTATATTTTTAAAATCAAATAAAAGCTAAACCAGTTTTTCTAAGTGGCAAGTTAGTAGTTTCATTGTTTGGGTCAAATAGGTGAATCCATGATGCCGTAATTAAATACTAAACATTTAAAAATAGATCAAACATAAATAGAAAAACTAGAAAATTTTAGGCACAACTCTAACATTATATGTTTGTCATATTAAACAAAAATAGGTATGATAAATAAAAAAAATATTTTATTAATGATGGAAATGGGGTGCACAATTTAAAACTGATCCATAAATGTAACCATTTTCTTTCCTAAGTGGTGAATCAATAGTTCAACTATTTAGATCATTGGATTAACCCATGTTGTCATAGTTAAATATATTTTAAAAAAAAAATAGAAAATACAAAAAAATACATAAAATATAAAATTTTAGACACGTATATAATATTTTATATTAATTCATATTAAAAAAAGATAAATATAATAAACAAGAACTATTTTTATTAATGATGTAATGAAATGCAAAATTTAAAAGCAAATGGGTCAACTCATGCTGTTATAATTAAATAATAAAAATTAAAAAATACAAATATACAAAAAATGGAAAGTTTGACACATCTCTAATATTATATAGTCATCATATTAAAGAAAATAAGTTTGATAAATAAGAATTAATTATATTGATGGTGGAAATGGAATATAAATTTTAAAATTGTCTTAGAAAGGAAAATATTTTCTATTAGGGGAATGCTTTAAGAATTCAATAGTCTAGGTTAATCCATGATGTCACAATTAAATAATAAAAAATGAAAAATAGATAGAAATACTAAAAGCTATAGAAAAAGTAGAAAAAGTAGAAAAAGTTTATAGTAAAAAAGTATTTTATGAAAATTAATCTCTTCCAAAATTAACCAACTTTTTCCCAAAAATAGTATTTTATGCAATAGTTAATGTTGTCTTCATGATATCTCTGAACATTCTATAAACTACTTCAAAAGCAAGTCTATTTGTCATAGGAACATCCCAAATAACTAAGTCAACCTATTGAATTAATCTAGCCAAATCTGTTTGCAAGGTTGATCATACTATATGATGAGTCATGCAAATCCAAAAGAATCTTGAATTTTGAATGAGCAGTTTTTCCTCCTAGTAATAAAAAAGCAACAATCTCTGAAGAAGCAACTAATAGAACAATTTTACTATCAACTCTAAATTTTGCAATTTTTGGTTTCCATAGGAATGTTTTTCCTATTCCATCACTTCCATAAACAAAGAACAAGCCACCCTTATTATTATGATCTACCTTATAATTTTATTGAAAACTGATTTTTTATCATTATTCAAGCCTGAAAGCTACATAGAAAAAATTTAGGATTCTATTGCACTGTCATAATTTAATTATTTACAAAAATTAATCTATTTTGTAATAGTTGAAAATGATGTCTTATTCTTAGCATTGGCATGGGCGGAAATTCTTCCAAAGATCTTTCATTTTAGTTCAAAATGTTTTCAATCCCATAAAGTGTCATGTCTTTTAATGATTCTACATCTACTTCCGATGAAAGATTTCTAGTATGTCTTCTCATTGTCATTTGAAGATCGTCTGCAAGATCTTCCCAATGTTGTTCCCAAAGCTCCAAAGGTTTTGTGACACCTTAAATGTTGGATATAGATCTCACCACAATTCTTAAATCCTCAAAGCACATGACACCTCTTATTTAATAAAACATTAGTCGCAAATAATACCTCTCACATGAATTTGGATGTGTATAATATAATCTTCCAATTGACATTTTTCTTTCTCCTTGTTCACTTCTTTGTATCCTTGTTCCATACCCACTTTGATGAAAATTCTACATATGTTAAGCTTCTCACATCTTCATATTTTTTATTTGTCTCAAACCATTTTGTTAAAATGGTATCTTTGACACCCAACTAATTAAGAACCAAATCAAAGTTATCAGAATAAAAAAAAGTGATATTGAATTTCAAATTTAAATATCCCCCAACATGATTCAACTGATAATATATATTGATAATCACAGTATTGCTTAATTTCATGTACAAATTTGTATTGTTGCATACCACCAGTTACAGTCGGTTTTGTGTTATCTACAATAATGAAAATTGCACAGTTTGAGCCTTTATGTATGAACTTGTATAAGTACTTGATCACCTTTGTTTGTGCACACCGCTCAACATTTATATGTGCATCACAATGTATTAGCAGACAAGGGTTATATGGAATTTCCGACCAATTATCAATTTCAATTTCATTCACTATAACCTTTCTTCCATCATTTATATGTCAATAAATAACAAATTCATAGTTATTTATTGGTGTCTCACTACAAAAGGGTTTTAAATAACCTTTTGAACATTTTTCATCAATCATTCATGGACTATTTGGATTGTATTTTGCACATTGTCCATGTATCGTACATAAAACTATTGTTTCATACAACAGTGGTTCTATTTCATTATCAGGTATCTCAGTATTTATAATATTATCAACACCATCAATTAAATCAGGCTGGTCTAGCAAGCTGCCAACCAGCTAGTTGGTATAGTCTCTTGTTGGTCATAGTAGAGACTTGGGATCAAATCCCACCTATACCTGGGTTGGGGGGTTGTGGGTTGGTAGATGGGTTGGTGGATTTACAACATGGTAAATATTATGGCTAGGTCACACCAAAAATTAAAAAAAAATAAATATTACAAAAATAAAAAATAAATATTTTATAATAAATGTTAATAGATCTATGAATTAAAAATTAAAAAAAATATATTTTAAAATTGCAAAAATGTTTAACAAATAAATAACTTTTTATACTAAAATTGATCTATAACACAATTATCCTTCATGGGCAAATTACACCAAAAATATAAATTCTTTAAATGCATCTATTTAAAGCACAAAAAGTAAAGGATTTTTAACATAAGGAGAGTATATATATATATATATATATATATGTATGTATGTATAAGCATTTGCAAGCATTAAAAAATGAAACATAAAATATTGTAACATACTATCGAATAAATTGAAAAAAGTATTTATTTTTGTAATTTTCTTAAAAAGTTGAAAAAAAACCTTAAAAGTATTGAATTTTGGAGGTTGTCTTTACATTTTTTTAAAGATTTTACAATCTAAAAATGTGTAGGGATGATTTGATGAGTTTGGGAGAGAAAAAAGGCTTTTAGAACATGAAGAGCCTTTTTCAAAAATTATAATTCATTTTTTGCATTCAAGAAATCGTACTATATTGGCCGACACACCTTGATATGGTTACGATACTCCGATACGCCCCAATACAGGTCCAACACGCCCCGATACAGTCAACACAACAAAAAAACATGATACAGATGAGTACGAGTATTTTGAGCCTTGATATGCCGCGACACGTTGCAAAATTTTGAACCTTGAGTATGGGCATTTCCTAATAATTATTGAATATTTAATAATTTTTGAAAATTGTAATTAGTAAAAGCAAATTTTAAGTAAAATTGATCAACCACTAATAAAAAATATTAATATACAAAAAAATATTAGCTTTATAATTAATTATTACTAATGTAATAATATTATTACTTATCTTAAAAAGTAATAACTCTTACAACTTTTAAGGATTGTAAAACACTAACAAAACCCATGCACTGGAAATAATAATTAATAAAAATGAACTATTAATGAAATTGACATGAAATTGAATTCAATTTAAAGTACTTTTTTAGTTTCTCAATTAATCTATCTATTATATGGTTACATTTCCCTCAGTTTCTCTTAACAATGCCTATTCTTGCCAAACTGCTCATCAATTCCATCTATGACAATCTGGACTGTGCACCAGGGAAAGCGATATTTTGTTGAGTTGGTTCACTCACACATATGCAAGTACGCACGCACACACGTGAATGGCAATTTAGGCCAAACATGAATATGACTAGACCAGTGAATTCCTACACTAGGTATTTTATCTGCCTCAGCTAACAATATAATTCAATAATGGAAGGAAGAAAATAAAATAAAGCGGAAATAAACAAATACAGAGCACCAACAATGGCAGAGCCCATCTTTCCACCTTATACCCCACAGATTTGGTCCTTACGCTGATATTTACATGGTTGAAATACACAATATGATCTCTCCTACAAAATCACATGGGAACCAGCATTGTCGATGGTTTCATTCATCCAGTGATGGAGAAGATAATCCGTCTCAAGGACTTGTATCAGCTATGCACATTGGAAGAAACGGATATCTAATCGGTTTACTTCTCTGAGTTTGGGATGGATGAGATCTGCTCTTCTAAGTCTTTAAGTAGATCATAGTATTCGGTAAATGCTGGTTGTGACTGGAAATTAAACAGAAGCATTTTAGGAAGATTGGTGATGATAGGAGAATGACACGAAAGTACTACTGCTTTTGGCATGGAAGCTGAGGAAATATACCTGAAGAGTCATCATGTATGCAGTCCATAACTGCATATCATGTCGAAAAAGATCAAAAAGAACCTGCTTAAAATCCCATAACATCTCACATTAGATTACAATCACATAACAGAAGAGTTTTCAGGTTTAGAGGTAGTCAACCTGACATAAATTGAGTTTGGGCTTATTAAAAAAAGTTTATTCAGAATACCATGAAATAAGTATTTCTTCAAAATACCAAAGGGTGGGGGTGGGGGGTTAATTGGTCAACACCCTTCTGGCATCATATACCTTTTTTCCATCATAGATTTACCCGTGCCTGTAATGTGAGATAAGACCTATAGAAGAATTTAATGAAATGATAAGTGAAGCCAATATGAACCAGTCATACCTCTGAACGTCTTAGAAGTGTAGCCAAGATGACTATCCACTCTTTAAACTTCACAGAACACATATGTGCTAAAAGAAATTCAGCATCCAACCGGCTCTGCAAATTATTCATTTGAAGCTACAAAGAAGAAGAAAAATAAGACAATTAAACACAGAATGCAGAGAACTTCCATTGTAAAAAATCTAATATAAAGTTCAGAAATACTATCCATGTTTCAGATGCACCATTTGGAAACAAGCATGATTACATATTGAGTTAGATTTTATAATATCTATCCTTCTGGCTTTTAATGTTCTTTTTCTTGGAAGTTTAAGTGCTTAATCTCACTAAAGAGTAAAAGTAACATTGGGTAATGGCCTTAATTCTGATTGCAATACAGAGGTATGTTGGTTACTGGACAAATATTTCAAGTCAAAGTTTATCAACTCAATCAACCTAATCTATCAGACCTGTCATGCAGTTAATGTATAAATGACAGTTAATGTTTTTATGGCACATTAACCTAATACAAACAGGATCTGTATTGGGGATCATACCCTAGGTTAGCAGAATGGGACCATTGCTTGGTGTAATGGTAAAATCTCAGGCAGACAAGCATGAAAACAAGGGATTGAGTCTGATAGAAACCATTTTGAGCAACAAATAAATGGCAAAGTTTAGCTCTGTATCCAGTTCCTCCCCCNCCCACCCCAATTCAGTAAGAGTCTTGTAGAGGCTCCAATTACAAAGAAATACGGAGTGCGAAGCCAAGGGGCTGGCTATTTTTTGTGATCTTTTCCTTTTTGGAATGATATATGATTGTCCATATTCCATATCCATGATTATACTGTTGTTGAATGGAGTTGAAGGAGGACCTTGTTACATAAAAATTACAAATGATTAGAACAATTGCCAAAAAAAAAAAAGCTTTAGAAGTGACCTCACTATGATATGAATATATGATGTGTCAGTATTTGAAGAGGCTTGTGCACTGAACATGCTACAAAAAATCAGCGTCTCCCTTAAGCTTCTTATTAAGCTTTTGAGGACTTTCCATTTTATAACGAGGAACTGAAACTACCAGCAAGATTTTCAGCATGAATTCACAGAAATGACAAAAAAAGTGAAAGACCCAGAGCTAAAATAACTATTATTTACCCTATAAAATACCTAAATTTTAATGCAATGGGAATTAATGGGGTTATAGAAACAATTGCACATTGTAATGTCTTGACAAGAGTCAATACCAACCATGACCATCAAAACTTGTTTTCAAGAACGTGAAACCTAATTTTTGAAACAAAATTTCTAGTTTAGTGATGGTCTAGACCTATTAGAACTATCAATAACAAAAGGAAATGACAACCAAGAAAAACAAGCAAACCGTGATGACGACTTTTTTCCCATTTCAATCCAAGAGGCAATGACATCACAAGACAAATAAGCAACCTTTAGGGCCTTGGAGTACAGACATTATAAGAGAATTAAGAAACTTGGCTAGACAAACAAGGAGCAAAAAGGAACAGCTGTATTGGGGAAACATCCCCCTGGTATCTGTCGGATGAATATAAGAGAATGTAAAAATTGGGATCGGCGGGCTAGGCAGCAAAAGCTGGCTTAAATATCTAAGGGGTGCTAGGTAAATATGATAGGACCAAACTCATTCAAGTGATTAAGCTTCTTCGAGGGAGCTCTTCCTCTGAAATGGAATAGTAGGGGGAGAAGAACAAGATGCAGAGAATTAGGGCAAGAGGAGATAATATCTTTCTTTTCTTTACATGATACTCTTGAGCAGTGATTTAAAAGGCGCGCCTAGGCACACAGGCGAGGCGCATTTTAGGGTAGGAGCCTTGCCCAAGTCCTAGATGCAGCACTTTCGAAAGGCGCACGCCTGGTGCGATGCACCTTGGCCCAATTGTGCACCTTTTGAAAATTGTAGGCTTTTTTGCTTTTTTTTTAACCCAACAGTTGGGCAAGGGGTTCTGCCCCTTGACCCCGACCACACCCCTCGAGGCAAGCCCAAATAAGTCCATGTTAAGGTCCTAAATTCTTAGTTCTCAAACAAAAAACTAATCATTATTTTTTGTGTGAGAACTAAGAATTTAAGACCCTAACATGGACTTATTTGGGCTTGCCTTGAGGGGTGTGGCGCAAAGGTGACTCGTAGAATTAGGAATGTAATATGTTTTACATCACATTAGCTACTTAAGGTAATGCAATTGAAGAAAAAAAGAGATTGTGGGCTTTACATGCTTGAAAATATTTTATATGTTTGATTTTATTTTTAAATTTTCATTTGAATATGCTTTGTATGTTATGTTTATGCATTTTAATGTTAGATAATAGGTTTTTTAAAATCATTAATTTTAAAAATTAAGTTTATATTTCTTATTAATAGTATGTTTAATATTTCTTTTACATTTTTTTGAATTTTCTGACATTTTTTTTTTTAGCAATTTTTTGTATTTTTGCGCCTTGCTTCAAAAAGGTGCACACCTCACCTTGCACCTCTCGCCTTGGGTGCAAATTGGCCCTTGCGCCTTTTTTGTGCCTTGCGCTTTTAAAACACCAACTCTAATGTATGAAAAAGTATTTTCTTAGTGTGTATACCTTTTGCCCAATTAATTCAAGCCCCGAAGCAAAATTCTCCAAGCGAGCACATCCATACCTCTCTCGCTGGAGAAATTCCTGCAACAAGTTTAAAAAAAAAATCAACCTCAAAGTCTAAAAAATGTTTGAACAGAAACTTGAGATATAGAAAACAGAAGATCCTCTCACCACCAGATCAAACTGAGTGCCCTTTACAAATGCAACAAGTTTGGTTAGTTCCTTTCCTGACATTAAGTAGCTGGCATGACTTTCTAGGATGTTCCTAACAGATGCAATATGTGCATTCTGTTCTTTGAATGAGGCACTGTTACAATAGACAGAAATGCATAATAAGAACACCGACACTTCAAACAGCCAAAAAGGCAGATCTGATGAGGGCAGAAAGCAATCCCTTTGTAAATAATGAAAAAAGCTGTCAATTAATAACTTAACCAGCAGAAAGGAAAATGCTGTCAATTAATAAATAAAACACCTTACAGATAGTGATGCAGTGTTTAATGATAAGATGATTACTATAGGTTGGCTATATGATTTTTTTTATTAGTAACTGACAAGCTTTATTACTGGAGAGAAATGAACAGTGTGAAGTTACATTTTGTACCCAGAATTTACAGAATCATTACAAGAAAAGCCAACCCCTTGCTGCTCCCACATAGCTCTAGGAGCTTCAAAGTTCCAACTTACAAGGGGACTTTAAAGGGTATTCACATAGTGATGCAGTGCTTAATGATAAGATGGTTACTATAGGTTGGCTACATGATTTGTTTTTATTTGTTAACTGACAAACTTTATTAATGGAGAGAAATGAAGTGTGAAATTACATTTTCTACGCAGAATTTACAGAATCATTACATGAAAAGCCAACTCCTTTCTGCTCCCACATAGCTCTAGGAGCTTTGAAGTTCAAACTTACAAAGGGACTTTAAAGGGTATTCACCTCAAATCAGAGTCTGCCCATTGACTCCTTGTCAGGCTAGAGAGTTAGCAAGAGATTAGCAGACCTAGGATAACAGTTGGGCACCACTTCCAAGAATCTAACTAAAGTGCCTTGCTTCCCTTATCAGATGCCTTAAATGCAATATAATATATTTAGAGATTTCATTTTGAGAACTGCCTCGCTAATCTTCCATTGGTTATTTTCTTCAGGAAAAAGCAAAGTGTCGTATTAATTTATAGGTGAAGTATCATCAGTGTGGAGTGTGAACATGTACATTGGATTCCTATATAAAAAGGAGGCAAGCTACAAAAGACTTTGCCTGCACTATTAGTCAAGACTCAAGAACAGCAGTTCAGAAACAAAGTGTTGGAGAGGTAGGCCTTTGAAGCACTCTTGAGTTGACACCCATGATACCACTGTCATCCTTCCAATTAGTTCTATTGAGCAACTTTTATTTCCAAATATTCGGAGGTCCTCTCCTTCCACAAACACCAAGTTGCAACTGCTAGAATCGTGCTCCATGGTTTCCAACCTTTTCACCTTACGACCCTTCAAGTGGTTTGTTAGTGAGTTGGATTGGTACCAGCTTAGGTTTATGAGCCTGTAAAAATAGCCCTACACTTCACAAGAAGTTGGACATTGAAGAAATAAGTGATCTGCAGATCCCCTTTCTCCTCACATAATACACAATTCATTGAAAACCGTCTCTAGTGAGACATTACCTTTCAATGCAATCCATAGCAAGAAAGCTACCTTGGACAGGATGTAGGGATCCAGACTTCTCTCTGTGAGAAATAGGGGTGGAAACGAATCAAGCTTTTCACAAGCTATTTGAGCTCGGCTCGTGAAAAGCTCAATTCAGCTCGTTTAAACCGAGCTCAAGCCCAATATATAGGCTAATTTGCTAATCAAGTAGAGCCTGAGCCCAATGAAGCTTATCTCATCAGGCTCGCAAGCCTAATAATATTTTATTTTCTACGTACATACAGGACGGAACTCTTAAGTGGGTAAGAAGGACTGCAAATGGGATGGCTGATTCCCTTGCCAAAGAAGGGGTATTGAGGCAACAATTGTTATGGGCTTCTATGTAGCTTAGTTAGTACTTTTGGGAATGCAGCCTTTTTCCCTTAATGTATTAATTTCATCTATCGTTTAATAAAATTTTGATTTATTCTGCTGATCAAAAGAAATTAGTTTCATCACAACCATCAATCATAAAAGCCTTCTAAAGAAGAGACTAACCTTTTTGAGTCAAAGGGCTGCTTTCTGGAATTGGAATGGAAAAGAAAATAACCCAAAAATCTTGGAGATAGTTTCTCAGACTCTCCAGTTGCTTGGTCATATTCCCTTCCAGATCTCAACAAGAATCTTACCTACACCCAAACATATGTTCCATCAGTTAATTTGGAAATGCAGCAATTCGAAGAAGATATAACTAAACCATTGAAAATTCATATGTTACATTGCAGGACATACCAGCTCCCCAGCAAGTTCATATAAAGATTCATCAAGTGTTGCCTGTGTATTGTTGAAGATAGTCAAGCATCTAACTTGGTAATTGTTAAAGAAAAAAAGGATAAAGAACAAAGTTGAAACTTTACAACCTACTATGTCCTTACCTGTAATAAACGCAAAGCACAGTACTGACTCACAGCAGGCCCTTCAAGTTTTGCAATAACCTATCACATTAAATGAATAATCCTTTTCAGTGTCATGAGTCCTAGATATACAAGGAGTATCACTAAATTTATACCATAGCCCAGAGTTTTGTACCCCTACTCCATAGGGAGTTAATCATTACATGTAGATTTTACTTGGATTTACTGTTGTTAGCAGAACAGATTTAGATAGAAAAATAATCCAAGAAAAGAAAAACAGAGAAGAGAAAAGAGAAGAGAGGAAGAAGAAGACAAAGAGAAGGAATAGAAGAAAAGGGGGCTGTATGTTGTGTTACTACCACCTTAAACAATATCATTTATAGGTAACAGAACAAGTAGAAGATAACAAAATAGGTACATAACAACTAGAAAAGAAAACAAGAAAATAACAAAATAGGTAACAAGTCTAGTCCACAAGTAGAATTGTCAAGTCTAGTCCCTTGTATCACTACACCCCCCCCCCCCCTCAAGCTGGGAATAGATGTTGATCATTTTCAACTTGCACAAATCTGATTCCAATTTGACTTTGGTGACTGCTTTAGTGAATAGATCAGCAAGCTGCATATCAGAGGCAACATATGACAACCATACATCTTGGGAGGCAACTTTCTCTCAAATGAAGTTCTGTCATGCTGGATTGGGTTGTGGGCAATATTAATGGCAGCTTGATTATCACAATACAACCTAAATGGATTATCATACTTAATTCCAAGTTGCTCAAGGAGAGATCTCAGCCATAACACTTCAGCTACACCATGAGCCATAGACCTATATTCTACCTCAACACTTTAGCGAGCAACAACATTTTGTTTCTTGCTTCACCATGACATACCTCTAACAAAAGGACAGTACCTTGAAGTTGATCTCCTATCATCAACACATCCGGCCCAATCAGCATTAGTATACACCTCTATCTTCATATGACCATTATTCTTAAAGAGTATGCCACGACCTGGACATCGCTTCAAGTAAGCAACGATTCTTTCCACGGCAAGCAGATGAGTGATTTTAGGAGAATACATGTAATGGCTGACAATACTAACATAAGTGATGTCAAGACATGTGAGACATACGTAAAGGAGCATTCCTACCAGCCATTGGTGCATGGCTTTGTCTTCAAGAGGCTCACTCCCTTCTGCGCTTATCTTACGATTCAACTCAATGGGTGTGTTTTTCTGGTTTAACTCCCAGTTTCCAAGTTTACTTAAAGAGATCAAGGACATATTTCCTCTGGAGATGAAGATACCATGTCTAGAATGAGCCACCTCAATTACGAAGAAATACCACAAGTCACCCCAAGTCTTTCACTTCAAATTCCTTACTAAGAAATTGCTTAAGTGAATCAATCTCATCAATATCACGATCTGTTACACTGCAAGAAGAGTCAAGGAAGTTCCATTTTTCTTAATGAAGAGAGTATGATAGGAGTGGGCATGTACATAACCAAAGCTTTCTAGAGCCAATCTAAATTTGTCAAACTAGGCTCTTGGAGATTCTTTAAACCATATAAAGCTTTCTGTAATTTGCAAACTTTCTTCCCTACATCTTCATTACAGAATCCAGGAGGTAACTCCATATACACCTCATCTTGCAAATCACCATTAAGGAAAGCATTCTTGACATCCAATTGGAACAAAGGCCATGAAAAATTTGCTGCAAGGGATAACAAAACCTTAATAGTATTCATCTTGGCTACAGGTGAAAAGGTTTCTAGATAGTCAATGCCATAAGTCTGGGTATACACCTTTGCAACCAGTTGGGCTTTATACCTTTTAACTGAACCATCTGGATTATGCTTCACAGTGAACACCCATCTACACTCAATTGGATTCTTCCCTCATGGCTTCTCTATTAGATCCCAAGTCTCATTCTCAATGAGGGCATCCATCTCTTCCTCCATTGCATTCTTCCACTCAGGTACCACAAGAGCTTTTTGGACAATTCTAGGAATAGGTAAAGCAGAAATAGATGCCAAATAAGATTTATAGGATGGTGAGAAACGCAATGGCATTAGATGAAGTGCACTGGTGCTTCCCATTGCGAACTGCAATGGGAAGATCAAGGTCATCTGGAGGAGGTAAGGAATCAAAAAGTAAGAGTGATGTATCAAAAGGCTAGGTAGAAGTACCTAAATCTGGAATTGTACAAGTGACAGGCACTGGCCTGACTGATCATGAGCACCAAAATCAACCTACCTCCACCTCCTATGAAAGACCTTCAACTCCTTACACCTCTAACAAGCACCCTCATTACACAACTCTCCTTCAAGAATAGAAAGATGCTAAGAAACTTCAAGACTAGGAACATCCCCCAGTGATTTAAAAGGCACGCCTAGGCACACAGGCGAGGTGCATTTTAGGGTATGGGCCTCGCCTAGGTCCTAGGCGCATGCCTGGGCGCCTAGGCGTGCACATGATGTGCCTTGCGCCTGAGCCTAGGCATGCGCCTTTTGAAAATTTTATGCTATTTTGCTTTTTTTTGAACATAGCGGTTGGGTCGGGACGTCCCCGGACCACCGTACCACGCCCCTCGAGGCAAGCCCAAATAATCAATTTATAATGTTAATTGCTAATGTTGTTCATTCATTCATCCGAATAAAATATTTTCTTAAAAAGCAATTAAAATTATAAATTCATTAATTTTTGTGCGAGAACTAAGAATTTAACACCTAACATGGACTTGTTTGGGATTGCCTCGAGGGGTGTGGCACAAAGGCGGCTCGTAGAATCAAGAAAGTAAGATGTTTTACATTACATTAGCTACTTGAAGTAATGCAATTGAGTGAAAAAAGTGATTAGAGGTTTTACATGCTTGAAAATGTTTTATATGTTTGATTTATTTTTAATTCTCATTTGAATATGCTTTACACCTTATGTTTATGTATTTTAATTTTAGATAATAGGTTTTTTAAAACATTTATTTTAAAATTTAAGTCTATAATTTTTATTAATATTATGTTTAATAATTTTCTATTTTTTTGAATTTTTTGGAATTTTTTGACAATTTTTTACTTTTTAGAATTTGTTTTGTATTTTTGCGCCTTGCTTCAAAAAGGTGCGCGCTTCACTTTGCACCTCAGGCGCAAATTGTCCTCTGCACCTTTTTTGCACCTTGCGCTTTTAAAACACTGCATCCCGCTCACTACTCTCCCCCCAAGAAGAAACTCCTGGGTAATAAGGTACATCCTCAAAGAAAGTAACATTCATGGGCACAAACCAAGATCCAAAACGAATATCATAACAGCAATATCCCTTTTGGTTTTATGTATAACTGAGAAATATACATTTAATAGCCTTAGAGTCAAACTTAGAACGATAAGGTCCCAAAATTAAAAAAAAAAAAAAAAACAAGTTCACCCAAAGACTTTAAGAGGGATGGTGAACAAATCTTTATCAGGATGCAATAATGTAAAAAGAGCTTTCATATCCAGAACACGAGAAGGAACTCGATTGATGAGATATACAACTGTATAAATAACATCCTCCCAGAAAATGAATAAGGACATTAGAATTCAGCATAATGGTTCTTGCAACTTTCAATATATGTTTATTTTTTCTCTCAACCACTCCATTTTGCTGAGGTTTATGAAGATAGGTACTGGTCAATAACCCCATACTCAAGGAAATATGAATTCAAGTGTTTAGTGAAGTATTCTTTGGCATTATCAGATCTGAAAATTTTGATTCGAACTCCAAATTGAGTTAGAACCATCTGATGAAAAGCATGGGTCAAAGTGGAAACATCATCCTGAGAGCGAATAAGGTAAACCCATGAGAAACGGGAGTAATCATCAGCAAACAATAAGTACTTATATCCCCCCATAGCAGAAATATGATATAGACCCCACACATCAGTATGCACAATTTCAAAAGGAACAATACTTCTTTTATCACTCAAATAATAAGGTGATCTACAATGCTTTGCAAGATCACAACTCTCACACCTTAAATAAGACATGTGAACTAAATTAAACAAAGTAGGTAACAAACTTTTCAAAGACCCAAACGATTATGTAAAAGCATAATCTAACTCACGAACTAAGAAACATAGGACTTCACAACTCTTTTATCATCTCAAGGTGGGTGCTCAAGCAAGTAGATTCCATTCGTCTCATGGCCAGTCCCAATCACCTTGCCACAAGATCCTAGAAAATACAAAGGTTAGGAAAGAAAGTTATTGAGCAACTCTAATTTCTAGTAATGCTATTGAGTGAAAGAAATTAGTGCTAAGTTTAGGTACATGTAAAATTGAGGACAAGATAATAGCATCAGATACTCTAATATTTCCCTTGCCCAAAATTGGAACAAGAGAGCCATCAGCTATAGATACTCTATCTCTCCTAAAGAGAAATGATATGAAGTGAATAATGAAGACAGGCTTGTCATATGATCTAATGCACCAAAGTCTATAATCCAAGTAGGATTAGTGTTACCTGGAAATAAGGCATGATAAGCAATAGCTCTTGTATCTAAGTGGCTAAAAGCTAAAGTAGAGGATGGAGGATGGTAGTAGAGGTAGGCTGAGATGATCTTGTAATTTCAGCTTCATTCTCCAACTGTGTCAAAACTGCCCTAACTACAGGTAAGGCCTCCAGAGAGGTAGATCTAGGTTTAGAAAGGGAAGAACAATCTGATGTAATAGTTGCATTTGCATTCCCTTCTTATTCTTAAGTATTTCTAGCAAATAATTAGGATGAAGCTTCCAATGTCTTTAGTATGTCTAGGTTTCTTATAGTACTCACAAAACACTACTTTTTTTCCTTCATTCTGCATCATAGTTTTCAAGGTGCCAAGGCGAGGCTAGGCAACAGGGGGGCACCTTGTCACCTAAGCGAGCGCCTAGGTGTCGCCTAGGTGATGGATATTTTCAAGTAAAAATATGTATCCAAGGGTAGTTCCCAAGGTTCCATAACCATATTTCCTTAATAATTATCCACAACTTTCATGAGAAAAGTATAAACTTCATGTTAAAGTATAGAAAATCAACATATTCCAACATATTCATGAGAAAAAAAGAAAGAAAAGAATTTTCAAAAAATATAAGGGCTGAACTCTTATTTCTGTTATAGGAAAAGAAGAAAAAGAAAAGGTGAAACAAGAAAATTGGTATATAGTATAGACACACAAAATTAGTAAAGAAAAAGAAGCAAATGTGTTGATTAGACAACATTTTAAGTTCTTCCTTACTTATTGGTTCAGGTTTTGAAGTCTTTCAGGGTTCAACACAGCATTTAGCAATGTTTGTGTTGATTAAACCCTAACAAATAAGAAAATAATAAAAAGAAATTAGTATATAAACACAAAATGAATATTTTGGTTTATAAATGTCTATTTTAAAATTATAACCTCAAAAAATTAAGAATATAAAAGTTTTGTCTAACACACTATAGAAAACTGCTTGGCGATTAGGCGAGGCGAACTTCAAGGGCTCCTTGTCGCCTAGGCACCCACCTAGGCATCACCTTGACAACTATGTTCTGCATATCTTACTCCCCATCACCACCATGCTTTTTATCTTGCAGCTTCTAATGCTACCTCCATTTGAGAATTCTTCAGCATAACTTTCCTCCTACTCTCTTCACTGTCAAAATCTTAATTCAGACCTGCAAGAAATTCAAAAACCTTGTTCCTTTCCACCAACTTGTTATAAGTTGTTGCATCCTTATTGCTTTCCCACTCAATTGTTTCAAGATGATCTATCTCATGTCATAAGGATTGTTCACTTCAGTTTTCAGCTCAAAAGCCCCCTAACCACACATCAAGTGGCTGTAAGTTTCTTTCATATTATCCTAAATATCCTTGGTTGTCTTTGCCCAAAGATAATTTCTGCTAATATGAGGCTGCATCGAGTTGCACAACCATGTCATCACAAGATAATTTTCCTGAACCCATTTTGCGTAAGAGGTTTCTTCCTTGGCCGGCTTCTTAATGTCAACAATCACATAACCCCCAAATGTAATTGTAGTAATTTGAAAGGGGTTGTTACCAGTCATACTACCAGCCCCTCCAACACCTCCAGCAGATTTTTGTTCATTTCCAAAAACCACTATGCTGGACTCAATAAAGAGAAGAAAAGAAACTCCATCAACACCCTTTTGAATTAAAAAAATAAAATAAAATCCCCCAAACACTAAGAATAGAGTTTAGGAAGAAAAACTACCCAGAAAGAAAAACACCAAGTTCCAAGAACCCTACCTTCTGCTGCAAGCCTTCAAGAGTTGAAAAACTACCAAGAAATTTCTGAGAGCCACCTTCAATCTGAGATTTAAACCCTAAATCTCAACCGAACTCAATATCTCTGATTCTTCCTGACTGTTGGAAAATCTCCAAGTACAGAACAGTCTTGGGCAAGCTTCAATCTCCACCAATCTCCAAGAATCAGACCACAAGAACTAGAAGTCCAGACCTAAGAAACTCTCATGCAGCCAGCTGGGAAAAGCCTACATGAGATTTAGAAACAGACCTAAACCTGCTCTGATACCAACTTGGATTTACTATTGTTAGCAGAACAGGTTTAGAAAGAAAGAAATAATCCAAGAAAAGAAGAGAAGAGAGGAAGAAGAAGAAACGAAGGAATAGAAGAAAAAGGGGGCTCTATGTTGTATTACTGCTGTCCTAAACAATATCATTTACATGTGCTAGCATAACATGAAGAAAAAGTAGAAGAGAAAACAAGAAAATAACAAAATAGGTAACAGAACAACTCAATGAGTGGAACCACAAAGAGAAGTATCAAGTCTGGTCCACTGTATCACTACAATTTTCACCCTAGAGTGCATTCCCCATTTTGAAGTAGCTAGATAATCTAATAAAATAGTGCAAGTAAGATCAAGAACATTCTATCCAATGTTAGTTTATATCACATAACCAAGGCTTAGAGCTCTGTCATAGATATGCTATAGATACCTCAGTAACACCATGCCCTGTATTTGGTGCAAGCACCTCAATAAACCTTTGGCATTATTTATCCATTGAAAGCCATGTTGGAAGGGAAAGAAATAATAATCCAGAATCCATGGTATATTCATTATAGAGAACACACTTCCCACAACCACAGCCACAGGACAACCAGAGAAGCCCAATGATTTTTAAACACGCCAGTGTTTAGTGAAAGAGAGAAAATATCACATCAAGTCGGTATCTGATTAAAACACTGGCATGTTCAAAAATCAGAGGGTCTCAGGTTTGCCCTGAAATGGTGGTCGCAGGAAACTTAAGTCCTTCATTATATGCCAAGAACTCTCAAAATCATTATTAAAACAGGTTTAAAATTACATACTAGTATGTAGCAAGCTGCAGTCCTGTACCATCTCCGTTGAAAGCATTCTTCAAACAACCTAAAATAATGATCACAAAAGTGTTTCTGATAAACAATGATGAAATAAAATAAAATAAAAATAAATTGATACTACTCATTATTCTACAAAAACAGGATTCATGTAGCCGACCCCATATAGTTGGGATAAGGCATGGATGATGATGATGATGAGTATTCATTATTCTACAAACTGAACTTTCTTCCCAAAGAATGTGTGACAAAATTGATTACATCTTTATTGAAACCAGCCAACTCCCCCCCCCCCTCTCTCTTTCTCTGCTTCATGGGGCTACAGAACAGGGGTAACCCATCCCCCATATTCAACCCCCCATCCCTGATGACAGCAGGATTTCATCCCAAGTCTCAACTATAACTAGTGAGAGAACTTACCAACTGAGCCACCACCAGTCACCGTTCAAAGAGTTTTGTTTAATCAAAAGTATATTTTTTTGACTGACAAATTGACAGGGGAACCTATCACATCATCTATTATCACTTTAACACATCAAAATCTCTGAAGTTCTTAATATTTAGCATATCAATGATGATACTTTGAACCTTGCCATTAGTTGGTTAGCCAACTTTCAATCAATGCCCCTGCCCCAATGGGAAAAACAAGTAAAAAAATAGAACTTCTCAGGAGTTGAACCAATTTCGAAATACACCGACAGAAAAGAGGAGAAACAATCAAAAATAAGAAAGAGTTAATAGATAATTACAGCACTGAGAAACCAAAGTGCCAAAGAGAAAACATGATATACATGAACAAGAAATAAAGAATCAAGAAAAAGAGGTCAGAAGGAGAGAAACAACTACAGCTAATAGAACATTTTCACATTATGATTCACCTAAGCTGTAAAATGAAGGCAAACTAAGAAGTTAACAAAACATACTCTGTCGATCTTCCTGCAGCAGAAAATAAATCTGCCCAATGTCGCCCATCAGTTTTTCTTGCCACACTTACAACAACGTCAAAGTATTCAGGAAAAGTCTTGATTAAATCACAGGTTTTCTCCAAAAGTAAGAAGCTGGTAGCACTTTTAGGGACTGATATTTGGTTCTTGTTCGCATTTTGCCTGTAAAGTAGTTACCATAGCATAAGCTACAATTGTGACTACAAAAAGAAGAGGAGAGGAGCATTTACTGCAAATATTATCATGAATACCAACCAATCACCCACCGCAAAGAAATAAAGAAAGAAAGAAAGAAGAGGAAGAAACACCAATTTACACTCCCAAAATTTAACAGCAGACACGAACATAATAGTAACAAAAATTCCCAACATAAGATAACCTTGTTGAAAAGTCCAATGCACACAACCAAACCAATTGAACTAATACTAGACATGGCACTAAACAGAACAATATGGTCAAACAGAATTCGGGATTCATGTAGGCAACCTCATATAGTTGGAACAAAGGCTTCGATGAAAATGATGATGATGATAATAATTAATAACTAAATAAATAACAATGCTTCCTAGAAGGATTTGTCTCCACGGAAAACTAGTTGGACATAATATCCCAGCTAATGTTTTGATAGGTCAAATAATAAATCATATCCACAATTCCATATCAACAGATCAACTTTAGACACAATATGAATGATTGCAAGGCTTACCACTTGATAGCCCTTTTAGCATAGCTTAACTAGATACTCGTTATACCTGACAAGGAAGTTGCCCATCACTGGAAGGCCAGCTACAGTCGCTATTTTCCAGTAAAATATTTTAGCATGTAGAAGCTAGGATCTAGGGCGTTCAGCTTCTGATGAGGGTATATAGCAAGAGAGAGGTAGACATATTAGGGGTGTGTAGACAAGATGGGCCAAATGGCCCATAGCCCACAGTTGTGTTTTTAATTTTATGTTTATGTTCTGTTTTGTTAATGGGCCTGTCAACTTTAGTTTCTATTTATGTTTAATTAGTTAGCCACCCCACTAAGGACTTGTAATTACTAAGGATTTAATTGTCATTTCTGATTATTAGTGACTATTCTTTAATGAAAAGGATTAGAGAAAGGAGGAGTACAGACAACTCTTCTCTTTCACCCTTTCTTCTCAATCGTTCCATTCCTCTTCTTCTCTTCTCGCTGTCTTCTTTTGTTTCTTCTCCTTTTTAATCTGATTTCTTATTTCTTTTGGGACTGTTTTTCTTCTTGGTATCAGAGTAGGCCCCTCTTTTCTTTTTTCTTCATTAGAGAACTGAATCAATAATTGATTGAAGAAGATATTCAACACAGTTGGTAATAGTTTTTGGGAGAAAAGAAGATACTCTGTTCACCTTTCAAATAGTTTTTGGAATTTTGCACAAAAACCCTAATCAACTAGAGATTTATGATTGTGGGTCCCACAAGAGGTTTCGCCTTGGCACTCAGTGGTTGAAGTCCTTGTTGATTACCTTGAAGATCAACCCAAGCAAAGCTCAGTTCTATGAAGCCAACAAGGAGTAGCTACTATTTCTCTATTTCTCTCGGGTATCAGGTAAGGCGCAGTTGTGCTGATAGGGAACTGTGAAGGTTGGTACTTGGTGTTTGTATTTTCTGTCTTCCTTATTTGTCATCTGAAAATTGCTTTGGGATTTTTTAAGGAAGATGGATATTTCTGGAGTTGAAAATAAGTTGAGCTCAGAGTCCGGACAGGTTCCGGGAACACCTGTAGACTTTCTATTAGCTATGACCACAGTCAAGATTGATGGGACTAACTATCTAGCATGGCCACAATCAGTAAAGATACATGTTTGTAGTAGAAGCAAGTGGGGATATATTTCCAATAGCAAGAAAGCACCAAAGGAAGATGACTCTTCTTATGAGAAATGGTTGCAAGAGAACTACACTGTTATTGGGAGGTTAGTGAATTCGATACAACCCCAAATTAGCCAACACTATCTATGGATGAATTCTGCTAAGGAAATATGGGACAGTGTTGCTGAAACCTATTCACAGAAATCCTTGTGGGGGAGAGACCTTTAGCAGTCTATTTCTCAATGCTGAAATCCTTGTGGCAAAAGATAGATCTCATGGAAATTGTTATCTGGGAAAGTATAAACAATGCAGAAACATACAAGAAATTAATTGAGAGGAATGGAGTCTTTGAATTCCTAACAGGGTTGAGTCCGGAATTTGACATTACCATGCAGAATATCCTAGATAAAGACAATGTATCTTTGTCTCAGGCTTATGCCATGGTGAGTAATGAGGAGAGTAGGAGGTTGGTTCAAGTTTAAGGGGCTATTCCAGTTGACCATTTTGCTAATATGGGGACGGAACCTAAGGTGGTTGTAGGGAAGGAGGTTATATGTGAATATAGCAAGAAACCAAGACATACCAAGGATACATGTTGGAAGCTACATCTAGACCTTCTTCCATCTCGTTTTAAAAAGAAGGCCGAAAATGGGAAGATTGGGAACACCAATGCAACCATAGTTTCAAATAATGACAGGAGTGAAACTTATGAGAAAGTCGTTAGTGAGCCAATGTTTTAAGAGCGCAAGGCACAAAAAAAGCGCAGGGATCAATTTGTGCCTGAGGCGCACACCTTTTTGAAGCAAGGCGCAAAAATACCAAAAAAATCTAAAATATCAAAAACAAATGTCAGAAAATTCAAAAAAAAATGCCAAAAAATTCAAAGAAAAATCAAAAAACAATATTAAACATAATATTAATAAAAAATATAAACTTAAATTTTAAAATAAATGTTTTAAAAAACCTATTATCTAAAAGTAAAATACATAAACATAAGATGTAAAGCATATTCAAATGAGAATGAATATTACATATTACATGTTTTTTAAAATTAAAAACCTATTATCTAAAATTAAAATGCATAAACATAAGATGTAAAGCATATTCAAATGTTTTTTTAAAATAAATGTTTTAAAAAACCTATTTTCACTCAATTGCATTACTTCAAGTAACTAACGTAATGTAAAACATATTACATTCCTGATTCTACAAGCTGCCTTTGTCCACGCCCCTCGAGGCAAGCCCAAACAAGTCCACGTTAGGTCTGAAATTCTTAGTTTTCACACAAAAAATAATGATTTTATAGTTTTAATTGCTTTTTAGCAAGACATTTTATTAGGATGAATGAATGAACAACATTACCAAATTGGAGATTCTCAGAGCCGAGGCACAAGGCGCATCAGGCACACCAAGCATGCGCCTTTTGAAAGGGTTGCGCCTATGACCTAGGCAAGGTGCATACCCTAAAATGTGCCTCGCCTATGTGCCTAGGCACGCCTTTTATATCACTATAGTGAGTAGTTGGTTGTTATGAAGGCGGAGTATGAGAAATATGGAAGGATAATCAGTCATCTTGAGAGTGCAGCCACCACCTCCTCTAACTCTTCAAGCAATCCAACTACTGTATTTGTTCATTCAAGTATACGTGCTACTGCCAACCATGCAGCCATTTCAGGTAATCGTAGGATCCCTTGGATTATAGATTTTGGTGCTTCTAATCATATGACCAACATTTCTACCCTATTTAGTTCTTATTACTTACTTAATGGTCGTGATAAGATTACCCTAGCCAATGGCTCTCTTGCTCCCATCTCTAGCAAAGGAGTCATCAAGGCCACTGACTCCCTTTCCCTTACTTTTATCCTTCATGCCCCTAGGCTACACATTAATTTGATGTCAGTGAGCAACCTAACTAAATCCTTAAACTGTGGTATAACCTTTTTTCCGTCTTATTGTGTTTCTCAGGACTTGAAGTTTCAAAAAGTGATTGGGCGTGGGCATGAGGCAAATGGAATATTTCTACTGGATACTCCTGGACAAAGCCAAGGACAGCCTGATTGCTTTTGGGTCTACTTCTTCAGAGTCTTTTAGTTGTGTCATGTTATGTCATTTTCGTTTGGGTCATTTATCATTTTCTTCTTTGAGACATTTATTCCCAGAGTTGTTTAGGGGAATTAACTTGTCTAATCTTCATTGTGAGTCATGTGAGTTATCAAAACAATGTAGAAGCACTTATCCTTTGAGTAATAAGAGATCCACTTTTCCTTTTCATATTGTGCACTTTGATATGTGGGGGCCGTACTACTTGCCTTCTATTGGTGGCTATCGATATTTTATCTTGTTCATTAACGATTTTTCTCGGTATAATTGGTTATTTTTTACGAGATCGCGTGATGAAGTTCCCAAACTTGTGAGACAATTCTATGAATTTGTTCTTATCCAGTTTGATACAAAAATCAAGATATTTCGATCCGTAATGCAAAATAATACTTTGAGAAAAACCTTACTTCTTATCTCACTGACTTTGGGGTTATCCACCAGAGCTCTTGTGTTCGTACTCCGGAACAAAATGGAATAGCCGAGAGGAAGAATCGTAACATGGTTTAAGTTGCAAGGAGCATTTTATTTGCTTCACATGTTCCTACAAAGTTTTGGGGGGATGTTGTTCTCACAACAACATACCTAATCAATCGTATGCCATCTAGAGTTTTGGGCATTAAGTCTCCTTTTAATCTTCTTTATCCAATAAGGAGCTTTTTTCTCTTCCCTTCGGGTCTTTGGTTGCACCTGTTATGTACACATTTTTAGTACCCAAAGACATAAGTTTAAACCAAAGGCCCATAAGTGCATTTTCCTTGGTTATGCCTCCACATAGAAGGGTTATTGTTGTTATGATTCTAGTAGTGGGACTCGTTATGTCTCAATGCATATCACTTTTGATGAGTCTACTCTTTTCTATGGTTCTTCTAAGGGGTAGCATCATTCACAAGGGGAGTGTTTGTCACAGTTGTTTGCACTTCCCCTTCTGGTTCCTGTTAAGTCTTCTTTTGTTGAGTCCAAAAGGCAACAATCATCTCCTAGTTCCTCAACTACTCCTGTTTCTCCACCATTGCCTCCTCGCCCTCCTCCTATTCACAAGTGGTACCAGTGGCAAAAAACCAAGACTGAGGAGATTGTTTCTCCTATATCACATGAGCCTCCTACACTACCAATTACTGAAGAGACAACAGGTGTTGAAGTCACACCCTTGCAGCCTCCCTTCCCAGACCTTGATGTCCCTATTGCCATAAGTAAAGGTAAACAAAAATGTACTACACATTGCATTTATAAACATC